ACAGCGAGCATCCCAGACGCTTGTTAATTCTGTAGATATACAGGATAACCGTGAAATAAGCCTGTATGGACGAATAAGCGGTAGCGTTTGGGTGAGAACGGAAAATTACAGCAACACAACCACTGAAGTTAGCCGCTCACTTTTTTGTTTGGGATTGGCTATGAGGGCAGCCCTCTTACAAAATCATTTAACAAATGAACATGGAACAGTAAGGAGTAAAGGTTACTGCATCATGGGACTCGAATGCCCCAGAGCCGGTGGTTGGTGGGGGGTGTAACTACCTGGTGTCGATATCAAACGAATACACGAAAAATGCAGGAATGTTGAGGTATGCTCCTGCAGTCAACCACGGGGTTGGTACTGTGACTACAGGGAGTGATGGTGACCAAGCCACTACCACGGGTGAAATAGCCGGGAGGGTATTGGCAACGGTTTGCTTGGACAATGGAACGGACTTGACGACGGCTACCCCCCTAGATATGTCAGCAAAAACCTCTATATTGGAGAGATTGCGAAACGGATCTAGAGGTGGATTGGTAAAGGTGCAACCTTTAAATGGGTCCGATTATTGAAGTGGTTAGTGTGGCGGAGGCGGCGGAGCTGGGAGAGGACGATTCTTGGCGTCCCAAACTTCAATTTTATTAGCAGAGATGAGAATGCTTAGATGGATGAGTGGAGTTACTAGAGAAGATAGGATAAGGAACGAGCATACCAGAGGAAGTATAGGTGTAGCGACAATCGTGGATAAGATGAGAGAAAATAGACTTAGATGGTTTGATCATGTTTTGAGGAGATAAGAATCGGAAGCTATAAGAACAGCTATAGAAATGAATGGTGAAAAAAGAAGAGGTAGAGGAAGACCAAAAAAGAGATTGTGGGATGTTATTGAATGCGATATGAGGACAGCTGATGTGAGCGTAGATGATGTAGCAGGTCGTGTCAAGTAGAAGTTTAGGATAAGTGTGGCCGACCCAAGTAGTTGGGATAAAGGTGAAGAAAAAGATGAAAATTACCAGAAATTCCGGTGGCAATTGTCATAATATAATTGTTGTTTGAGAATGTACAATTTAGCGTTTGTTGGGTTTAAACAATATAGCATCAAATCAATTACCTACTGTATCCGTTGTATCTTAATATACACTACACTTTAATGATACTATAAATAAATAAACTCCCACATTCACACATATGCATTTATAACATTGTGTCTAATTTAAGTATAACATAATAAAAGGTAAAATGGAAAAAATGGAAAATAAATTTTAGTACTAATATTAAATGTAATGTAACTCGAAAATATTTGTTTAAATGAAAAAATAGAAGATACCTTTTTTGTTTAAAATGGTCTTTTAAACAACTTTTGTACAATATTTTTTTGTAAGTTAAATATTTTTTGTGAAAATTAAAAAAGCTTATATTTTTTAACTTTTGCAAGGCTGTGAGAGGTGACGACTTGGGCCACGCAACGGATTGTGGAGTCGCCACCCTCATGGCTCCCTTGCAAAAGGAAAATGGGTCGCCAACCACTTAGGCGAGGGTCTTGATCAGAAAGAACGACACCCGGACCATAAGTGGATTTAATAGAAAAAAAATTAAAAAAAAAAAAAATAATAAGAAAACCAATAATATGCATTTTGATGAGATAAAATGAATTAAAAAAAATGTTATATATATAAACATATACTAAAAATATAAAGTGTTGTTGTAGACTATAATACGCTGATACCTTGTAAATATAACCAATATGTTTGTTTGATGTCACCAGTGGTGGACATACTTTAGTATGTCGAAGACCGTTACCTTAAAACTAGAGAAATGATTTAAAGGAAAAAAAAAATAAGATACACGTGAATATTGAAGATATTCACGCAATAAAAAGATTTTTGTTGATTAAGAAAATTAAGGGGACTTTATTAAATTATTACAATTAAGTTAATAGTGGACAAAACCCGAAGGCAAAAACCACTCTGCAAATAAAGGGACAAAAGAGAAAAAAAAAAAAATTATTAAGACAAAAAAATAAATTTTAACCTACAACTTTTAAATATTACACGTGAAGCGTCTTCCGCATCGGAACAAGTCCGTGTACTCCGGGCGCGGCGGATAATTTCTGTAATCTGGCCGGCCGGACCGTACTTGGGTACTGCGGGAATAATATATATATATATATATTTAATATACATGACACACCACTGACCAATAACCTTATAACAACAAACGCTAAAATGATTTATCTATCATAAAAAAAATAATTTTATGACAGAGAAAAAAAAAAAAAAAAAAAAAAGGCTCAATACATTATTAAATAAATAAAAGAAAAAACAACAATACGATACCCAGTCCCGGATGGGACTCATCCTAAGATGGGGATCTCGGCCCCGGAAATGGCCGACGCCTTGTTGAATTAGTACATTATTAGAGGAACGACACTCACAAAAAAAACTATAATTGGCTGCACGCACACAGCAAAACAGACCACGACGGTGGTTCAAAGGGAAGAGAGACTACGAAAAAATTTATACACACCGGGCGAGACACAACGACGACAAACCCGTTTGGGAGAGGGTATCGGCTTAATGATTTACAAAATATACAACAGATAAAAATATGAACAATATTAGAGTTATACAGGTATGGACAGTGGTGGCCAGTGTATGTGTCATATAGGGAACGATTGTTAAACTGATAAAGAATATTGTGTGTATAGCGTTCACCTTGACAGCAACAGTACAGTTTTCTGATTACACGGCCGGATATAATGTACGCGCGCCCATTAGCAAAGCAAAACAGTAATCTATCAATATCATAAAATTCACATTTTGTCACGTTACAGCTGTAAAAAAAAAAGCTCAATTCCAATCAATGAGGATTTCTAGTATGTCATTATACATTAATTCAACATTAAAAAAAAAAAATTTGGTTGGGTATCTTTTTGCTATTTGCCAAAATTACTGCTTCGTTATCTAGCCTATAAAATGAATATAAAAATATATATAAATTTTTTTTGATAGGTTTTAGAAAAATTTTAAAAATTTTTAGTTATTGGTACCCCATTGAAATTGATTATAGTTCTTATCACAATTGGGCGAAAATTAAAATGTTGGTATAATTATAAGGGCAATAGTCCTCCTAGTTATTAAAATAACAAAACAAGAAAATAAATTATTAAACCAAAACATCATATCTTATCGATAAATTATTTAAAACAGTGACAATAACTATTTCCTTGTTAATAACTGTATACTTTACCCTATTATTTCAATAAATAAATAATTTATTTTCATTTTTGATTAAAGCTACTTCGTTTACATCTGTTCTATTATGTCAGGCGGCTAAGCGTAGTAGGGTAACAACAGCGTGGTCAGGTCAAAGAGGTTACGTGTGCTATTGACGGATAATCCCGATTTCACTGAGATTGATTCCACGTTGGAGTGGAGGCCGTTTTGTTTATCGGAAGAACATGGAAAATTTCGCTGGCTATTTTTGGATTTTCTACGCGCTGTTAAACCCGAGCTGGTCACGCAGACTCGCTGAAATCGTATGTCATCGTCCGATCAAGTATAATCTCAAATTGGAGGACTCATGCCATATATCGCGATCGGAAACACCAACTGAAGACCGTGCCTTCAAGAGATGGGCTAGGGCATTGTTATCCGATACGGATAACGAGTTGCGGTCTATGAAAATATTGAGGTTATACTCGTCGTGAAAAATGTGTACTCTGGGAGGGGTAGCGGTTTTACTGCATATCGACGGTCTTACGCATAGTTTATACATGTATACACTCCTCTCCGGATCATCATATATTCCGATTACGCCCAAAATAATAATAGAAAAGCGATCATTAACCCACAAAACATCGATCAGTCCTGTTTCAAGTGGGCAATTTTAGCGAGACACATTTGAGTTAGTAATAATAAGCGTGTTAATCAAAAATATATTAATAAGGAGAACATGTGAAATTTCACGGAGTTGACGTTCCCCACACCTGTGTCCCAAATTAAAATATTTGAACGGCGTAATCCTAACATGTCCATCAACGTGTACGGCATGGAACGAGACGACGTTAAAATAAAATGGACGGTGTATCGACTACGAGTCGCCGTTCAAAAACTACAATATCATTTTGAACTGTTGTACATCGGCGACTCTGACAAGTATCATTACGCGTACATTTTCGATGTTTCGCGGCTCCAAAAACCAAACACAATAGCCACATATACACTTGCAGACGTTGCTTCACCAGCTTCAATGATATGCCTAAAAAGCATATTCTTCGCGGTCAACAAGAATTGAAGCAATACAAGTTTATATGCAGTAAAAATAAACAATTTTAACCGTTATGCCGGCAGAGAGCAGAAAGGTCGAATTTAACGCGTAGGTAAAGACACAACGGTTACCGTTTGTCATCTACGCCGATTTTGAGGCCTTACTGGAGCAAATAGACGATCGTATGGATGCATACGCCAGGACTGTGCACACCCACCTTCCCATGAGCTACGGGTCCATGATGAAAACATCGGACAATGTGCCTTCCGAGCTCTTCGAACATTACGGTATACCGCAATCACCTGTTATACCGTAGGTCGGAGGATCGCGAATAGGTCGCCAAGACATTTGTGATGACTTTAACTGAAGTGACGCGCAACATATATAAATTGTTGCATAAAACCATAAAGATTATATACAGCTGATAAAATAAAATATGATTTTAACTTAGTCTAAGAGTGCATAAAATTGAAAATATCATGTAATGTTATTTACCTTTCAATGCATACATTATTATACCGCAATAATTATATTGTATTGCATTGTTTGTTTTTAAAGAGCAGTTTGTAGAAAAAGTGCAATAATTTTTAAGGATGAATAGGAATTGATCTTAAGATCGTCAGGGAACCATTGCGAAATGTTAGTTGAATTTGAATTTATAAAAGTTCTCTAGTAGATCTGTTACACTATGTATAAATAATAATAGACAATAATAATTAAATCTCAATTACCTTCTAAATTGTAATTCGCAGTTCTTCTTTCAAAATTAATAGGACTTGATTCGTTTAACACTTCAAACATTTTTGATTCACTAATTTGACCCTTATTATTAGCATTTTCCTCAAGTTTAAAAATAGCTAGTTGCATGCAATAAAATGCTAAGGGATAAAATTCCTAGAAAATTCAATGTTAAGTTATTTATTAGTTTAAAAAAATTATTAAAATTAATCAAATTAATAAAATAAAAAAATCAGTTTAAGATATGTATGTAATTTTATAGCTAAAAATTTTTTTTATAAATGTAATTTTGTTCAATAATAAGTTGATCGATTCTAAAATAAAGTTTTTTATTAATACTAAACTGTATAACAAATACACGCATAAACAATAAACAATAAAGAATCGATAATTTAAAACTTATTACTGTATACTCTTTAAATTATATAAAATAAATATAATTATTAATTATTAAAAATGTTACCATAGATTTTACACATTAAATCTATATGATTATATAAATTACAACAGTGATAACAGTGTCCCTATAAACAGTGCCGCCACTGTTATACCTCCCCTCCTCCAGACATAAACTCCAGTTTATGTAATCAAATTTTGTGCTGGAATTAATTTATTACTATGGAAACAATTTTTTTTTCTTTTTTCTTCTATCTCATATATTGAATTTGATATTTGTTTTATTATTCGGAAAGGACCTCTTCTAACTTCATCCAACTTGTTCCTATTCATTTTGTTGCCATTTTATACGTCTACTAACTCATTTTCTTTAAATGTATATTCTTTTCTTGTTTTGTCTACTCTTTTTTTATTTTTTTCATAATTTTTATTAAAATTTATTTTAGCTTGTTCTCTATCTTTTTCTAAATTAAAAGTTTTTTCTTGAAGTTCATTTGGTACTATATAAGACTTTACACCAAATAATAGATAAAACGGTGAAAATTTTGTTACACTATGTGCTGTATTGTTGTATTCCTCTACACATTCCTCCGATATCTTAGACCATGCTTTTTTTTTCCCTATTAATTTTACATTTTATTCTGTTTACCAATGTTTGGTTTAGTCTTTCATTTAATCCATTTGATTCTGGGCAATCAACTGATGTAAATATTAATATTATATTCTTTGATTTCATATAATCTTTGACTTCTTTGGATTTAATTCCTGTATATTGATCCGCCAAAACCATTTTTATTTGGTGCTGTCTTGCCACCAAATCGACTACTTTGATAAAATCTTTAGCACTTTGCCCTTTTGAAGTTAAAATAAATGCATATCTCGAGAAATGATCTAATAAAATATGTAAATACTTTTTTGATGACCTATTACCTCCAAAACCTCCCACTGTGTCAATGGACATAATTTCATAAGGTTTAGTCGCTGGTCCTAATTTTGAAAGCAAACCAATTTTTTTGCTACTTCTTGATCTATTTTTTTTACATATTTCACATGCACTACAAAATTGGTGAATAATTTTATCCATATTTTTGAAATAATAATAAGGTCTTAATTTTTCACTTAAATGATAAGTACCAATGTGACCATAATATACATGTATTTTCTTAATTAATAATAAACCAAATTCTTGAGAAATGTAAATTTTTTGTCTATTTTTAAGGTATTTAAATTTGATATTTCCTTTTTCAAATACTCTTTTGGAATCCTTAATCTCAATTGCATTTTTTTGTTGGTCACTAATTATTTCTTCTAATGTAACCATATTTACAACTTTTAANAATATTTCTTCTAAAGTAACCATATTTACAACTTTTAATATATAATCTTCATTTTCAAAGTTTTCTAAAACTGGATTTTTTGATAAGGAATCAGCTTCAATATTCTCCTTACCAGGTGCATATATAATCCCAAAACTATATTGTGAAAGGTAAAGATTTCCAAGTGTATCATCTGTCCTTGCTTTTACGTTTAATGTTTCTAATGGTTTATGGTCTGTAATTACAGTAAAAATTCTTCCAATTAACCAATGTTGCCAGTATACAATCGCTTCTTTTATCGCTAGACATTCTAAATAAATAATTTTGTTCTTTTTTTGACTGGGGTTTAATTTTTTTGAGAAATAGGCAACCGGATGGAGAATACCATTTTCCTGAGATTGTTTTAATACTGCTCCTATACCTTCTCCACTTGCATCAGTATAAATAAAAACCTCTTTATTTTGGCTATATATAGATAGAATTGGGCTTGAACATAGGTATTTCTTCATATTATTAAATGCTTGCTGACACTCTATTGTCCAACTAAATTTTACATATTTTCTTAGTAAATTATGTAACGGTTCCAGTTGTATTGATGCATTTTGAATATATTTATAGTAAAAATTGATTTTCGCTAGGAATTGTCTAATATTCTTTTTATTTGTAATATATATATATATATAATTTATACAAAAATCATTTAAATTATATCTCCTTATTATATTTTCTAAGGTTCTTTGAAATATTGCAGGGGATATTTTTAAACCAAAAGGTAAGCATGTCTATTGCCAGTGTCCGTCTTGAGTCACAAACGCTGTTTTCTTTCTATCTTTATGCCTAATTGGAATAGACCAAAATGCTGAATTTATATCAAAAGCTGAAAACCAGGTACATTCTCCTGCCTTCACCATTATGTCTTCAATTCGAGGAAATGGCTGTGGCTCAGGAACAACTAATTTATTTAATTCTCTAAAATCAATACATGAACGAGATCTACAACCATCTTCTTTTTAACACGCTTATATTAGTTTCACCTGTATGTATGTATGTATGTATGTATGTAACTCTTCAAACGCCACGCTTTATCGCGTATCCCGTCGTCTATGGCCTTGAGACTAGACATTCACCCCTCCCCACGCCTCGCCTACAACACGACGGCACACTATTCCTATAAAAATTTATTTTTAGTTATCGTACCCGTACACGCGTGCTTGTCATCAATAATATATTTATATAAACAAATTTTTATTTTGACTGACCAATACCGCCCGCGTCTAATGCGCCTTACGTATATATATTTATATATTCCTACCACCGTTTATACCTCAGGATAACGTTAGTCCGACCCGCCCGCCCACAAAACACAGCTATACCTAGTGCATGATATGTTTACGTACTTAAGTCGCTTTACTTGTATATATATATATATTCTAATTACTATTAAAATTTATTTATTAACACGCTTTATTTTAATTAAGAGATATAAAGTATTCATTCCGATTACGAGGGATGATTTCCGTATCGTCATTTTTCGTCACTATTTCCACGTTCTGGGAGTGAGTAATTTACGCGCCTGCTGCTTTCCTTGAATGTGGTAGCCGTTTCTCAGACTCCCTCCCCGGAATCGAACCCTAATTTCCCGTTACCCGTAACAACCATGATATTGATAGTAACTACTATCATAGCATGAAACTAAAAAGTAAAAAATAAATATAGTTTAAAAAACTAAAAAAACACGCTTTTAAAGCACATCGAACTAAAAAGTTAAAAATAATTTTTAAAATAAGTTTAAAATAATTATGAACAAAAAATACTAGTATTATTGTGATAAAAGCGTTGGTGCTTTGTGTCATATTTTTCGTATATTGAGCGCCTGACGCTTTTTTCACAATAATACTAGTATTTTTTGTTCATAAACTTTTAAACTTATTTTAAAAATTATTTTTAACTTTTTAGTTCGATGTGCTTTAAAAGCGTGTTTTTTTAGTTTTTTAAACTATATTTATTTTTTACTTTTTAGTTTCATGTTATGATAGTAGTTACTATCAATATCATGGTTGTTACGGGTAACGGNAATTAGTTTCTTCAATAAGACCCGCTTCTAATAAATTTGTAATTTGCGATTCTATTTCTTTTTGATCAGGTATTGAACATCTGTATGGTTTTTTTGAAATATAATTATCTTCTGTTAATTTAATTTGTGCTTCTTCACATTTAACTCTACATACATCATATTTATTCTTAACAAAAATGACTTTATATTTATTAATAAGGTTCATTATTATTATTTTATCTTTCTCATTTAAATGTTGTAAATTAGTTTCAAAAATACTAACATCAATATATTAATTCAAATTTAATTGTAGATCATTCTTTTGTTTTTCTTGACAATTTACTAATTCACTTTCTTTTTCGTTTATTTTTTGAAAAATATTTAAATTTTCATCCTGTTGCTAAATCCTGTTGTAAATATTTTAATAGCATCTAGACCAAGTAATAAATCATATGAAAAATTATTGTTTTTTATAACATATGCATCTAAAATTTTTTCAATTTTATTAATTTTTAAATGCAAGCGTGCCCGGCTATTGGTAAAATTTACTCCACTTATTGTTTTAAACAAATTATGATTTTCAAAAAATTTTGTTTTTAATTGGTTTATAATATTGTGATTAACAAGTGTAATATTTGAACCACTATCATAGATACCTTTTACTTTTTTTTTATTTATTAATTAATACGTTTAATGATATAAACGGTGTAAATTTTTCCGGGCGATTTAGTATTTTTGGTTCTTTAGTTCAATGTCCAATAGTTCATCAATTTCAGTTTGATTGACTTCGGATACATTAACATTTTTTTTTTCCAAATATTGTAGCTTGTTCCGACAAAGTTGAAGTGGATGATAACGATTAGGTTTATTTAGAGCCTCACACATATAACAAGGCTTTTTTTCAGAAAATCCTTTTGGTGCTACATTATACTTCTTGTCAACATTACTCTTTCCCTTTATAATTACATTATTATTATTATAATTAGATTTCATCTTGTCAACTTGTTTATGTCATTAAAATATTTCTAATTATCACGTGTAATATTATTAACACCAACAAGCTTTGCTAAAATGGCCCATTTGAAACAAGACTGATCGAAGTTCTGTGGTTTAATGATAGCTCTTTGATGATTAATAATGAGGGGAATCGAAAAATATGATATGCCGGCGAGGGACGTATAATTTTATATGCTGAGCATGAATCCGTTGATATGCGCTAGCGTAAATCTGCTACCCCTCCCCGAGTACTCGTCTTCCTCAGTGAGCATAAACCCGAAATCATCAACGACCACACCCGAAATGTCCATGTCAGACAACAACACTCTAGTGCGAGGATTTGGGTGGTTTTTCTAATCGCGGAATATGGTAAAAGGCCTCCAATTTGAGATTATATTTAACCGGACG